CTCTGAGTGTCCATGACTCTCTCAGCTAGTCATCACTCAAAGAACCACATCTGGGTTTTTTTAGTTTCACCCTTACATCTACGGGTTTCATGTGATGCCCCTTACTTCTTGTACTGGAAATTACAGTAAATAATTTATGCCTTTCCACCCTATCCTCATTGCTAGTAACTGTATAGATTGCTACTCTTTTCCTTCACTCCTACCTCAGCCGTGTCTCTGAAACAAGTTATAGTTACTATGGATGGAGCTTTGAGAAACCTCATCTAGTGGGAGGTGTCCCTGCCCAAGTCAGAGGGATTTGAACTAGATGGTCTTTAAGGTCCCTTTCCAACACAAACCATTGTGTGATTCTGTGATTCTACTCAGATTATGAAGTTAGGTCCCTAGTGTTATTGAGCTTACTAGTGCTAAGGAGTCTGATTTTATCACAAGTCACAGAATGGATGAGGCTGGAAGATGCCTCTGGAGATTATCTAATTCAGCCTCCCTGCTTACAGTAGGGTCAATTACAGCAGGTTTCTCAGGAAAAAAATCCAGCTAGGTTTTGGAGATCTCCAAGGCTGGACACATGACAACTTCTCTGGGCAACATGATCAACTGTTCAACAGCCTGACAGTAAAGCACCTTTTTCTTGCATTTTAATGGAATTTCATGCATTTCAATTTAAGTCCATTAACTCTTGTCCTGCCACTGGGCACCACTGAGAAACACCTTGCTTCACCTTATTTACTTCCACCCATCAGGTAGTTATATACATTGATAAGACTTCCCTGCGTCCTGGGAAGCAATTTGATTGGAAAAATAGGCATGAAAGTAAGATTTTAAAAAACCCCAACATTACCTGAAGATTTTAGTTGAAAACTAAAATTCAATAAAAGAAGCTTTTAAAATAAAATAGGTTAAAAAACACTCCAAAGGCCCATCAAAAAAAACCCGAGGAACTTATCTTAGTTTTGCTCAAAATAGAAATGGTTGCTGGTGTTCTGAAAACTTATCTGATTCTTCATTTAAATAAGAACAGAAAAGGATCCAGGTTATTATAGATTTTGCATTGCAAAAAGGGTGTGAATGAGTGTAGTAGAAAATTTGATTTTCATTCACACTTAAATGTCACCTCAGTAGGGTTATTATTGGGGGTCATTTCGTTATTTGCTTTCATGAAGTTTTTCAAAGCTCAAATATGTTTTTATACACACAAGATTTAAATGTCTATGCTAGTAACAATCACAATAATAAAAGTTATAATATAACTGTAAAAACAGTACAACCTCAAAGTCTCATCAAGTAAAATACAGTCAATAATCTAATATTAAATGCCTTTAACCCAATGAATTATTACCTTTTCTACCTGTATTTGCTCAGTAGAGATCTGTTATTCCATAGCAACAGTCTTAATAACTCTCACATCAATAATGGAGGTAAACCTAGTATGAATATGTCATCTGCAGAACCAAATTTTTAGCTGTTTAAAAGGATAAACTGTTTGCATGTGGATATCTTATTATCTGTATTGTCTTAAAATCTTATATCTTACTATCTGTATAGTTAAGGCAAGAATACTTTGAAGGTAATCTCTGGAACAATGTTATTAGTAAACTATTAAGTAATTTGTTAGTCTTTGCTTCATAATGAATTCTGCTTCTAAAACCTAGAGTAAATCCTGAGTAACTGTGATTGTATTTTGAACAGCGAAATTTAGCAAATATATAATATAAGTAAAAATCTATATAAAATATTCACCCATATCTTTGTGCAGGAGACATAATCTGGTGTCATTGCTTTCCAAATCCTTTCCCTTTGACTCACTGTGATTTTTGCAGATCTGTGTTATGAGAATAGTAGTAATTTCCGATTTGTATGGTAGAGGTCTTAAATACAAATATTAGGAATTTTTATATTCTGACTCTCAGGGAGAAATTGTATGAACTTCCTTAAGTCTTGACATTTTCAGTTTTCTTGAGAGGGAAGGGAAGATTTTTTCCTTCTTCCCTGAAATTCCTTACAGATGTTCTTCTTTACATTTGTCTTCAATTATGTATGTCTACAATGTAAGTTTAATAGTTGATTTTCCTTAGATACTTCCACTCTTAGACGATGCGTTACACTTATCTTTTTATTTCAACACCAGTAGTATATGTCATAAATATTTAATTTAAAAGGTGGAATTGTTTGTGCCAGTGAAGTATTTCAATTAGTTCATATGCAGAAAGTGTTTTGCAGAATGTTGTGATTTGCAGCTGGTGCACTGTGGTGACATTTGAGGTGATGTTAAATTATGGACTAGTATCCCATTCTTGGAAATTAAAAAAAGAACATTCTCTCAATTCTATGCCTTTTATACATTTTCTTAGGTTCTTGGCACTGATAGCATTTGAGGTTTTGGCAGAAAGAGTGACATCCACTTTAACATCTGGATTGTGCAAGGGTTTGTAGAGAATGTTTTTAAGATATAGTGTGTAAAAACAGAAATATTTAACTGATAAAATTTACATGTGCACTGGGGCTCCCTAATCCTACTGACTTCATATCATCTCAGATGCCTTGACATATTTTAATTCTTGTGAATTTCATATTTCTCTAATTATCTTTTAAAAAATAAGATGTTAAAAACCTGACAAGCATCTTCTTGAAGGAGAGTGAAAGAGCAGGGAATTAAATACAAATTCCCTGAATCCCAGGTTATGAATAAATGAAAAGCAATTCCTTTCTTTAGTTCTACAAAACTGTTTACAAAAAATGCCCCTACTATGTTAAAATTGTTTGATCACTCTTCAAAAATGGTCTTCAAATATTTCAATTAAATATTTTTAGGGCAATTTTGTCAGTAATAACATAATATGTTTGGGTTTTTTTGTTGTTTTTTTTTTTTTCCTAAAATTTTCCTGGACATGTATTAATTATGTGATGGCAACATCTCAGGTAAAAATATCTTAAATGTCAAAAATATACACTTGATATTCAATTTGGTATTAATTTAACATACAGCCACTCACTGTCGCATACAGATTGTGTGTAGCAGCATGTTAAAGATCACATTTTCTGTCTACCCATTTTGTAAGTCAGGCTCACATACAGACCGTCCAGCTTAGAACAAATGCCTACCTATTCAAGACAACTAAAATTCAGCCAGTATGCACTACAAATACAGAGAATCTCCTCAGGAGCAAGCATGCCTCATGGTGGCAAAAAGTCAAACACTGCCCTCACCTACGCTGATTTTACTAGTGAAAGGCATATAAAGGACTAACACAGTAACTAGGAGCAGAGTTTGGCTACAGGACTGCACATCTGAAAATGAGCAGAGTCAGATGTTTGTTTCAGTTGTGGCAGCAGGGTAGGAAGCACTGCTGTGCACATGCTTCATGAGGAAGCTTAGCTAATTAGGTGTGAGTCTTGTATGAATCAAGTCTCAGTTGTGACTAGAATAAATTATAAATATTTCTCCTTTTTTATATCCAGTGCTCTGTTTTAGGCCCACTGTGCAGTATCAAGTTGCATTTGATATACTGTCAAGATGTGTGAAAATTTAAAACATGAAAAATTTTCACATGAAAATTTCACATGAAAATTTCTATGCTGTCAAATGGGTTCCATTGCTTCAACTGCTTCCCTGTCCTGTGAGGAGAGAACTTTTATTGGTTTAGCCATTCTTTAGGGAATGTAGGATACCTTTCCTGAAAAGAATAAAAACCACAAAATTTCCTTGTTGCTGTATGTTGTGTCTCTTCCTCAGCACGCTGCTGGTAGAAGCTATGCCAATTGTGCTTTTGATGCAGACCTGTCCAATTGTACTGAATGATCCAAAACTCATTTATTATATGCACCTTTCAAAGTGTCATTGAGAGATTAATGTATAAAAAGTTGAAATATCTTTACATTTCCTGCAGAAGGTAAAGGGAAACTTGTGCATGTTAGTATCAGACTTGTGAGCTAAGTAAATCTGATAGTTATTAATTCTTTAGCTATACAAAAAGTAAGCTATAGACCTGAGGTGAATAAAAGACTTCTGGTTCAAGAAAGACCCAGGCTAACCTTGGCAGTGCCATTAATCATGAGTAGAGCTCTAACAAATTGTATAGCACTACAGAGACTTTGGAAGGAGAATGTAAGGATATATGCACTTTGGGAGCCATAAACCACTGTCTTACAAAATGTCTATGCCTTAGATCATCAGAAAAAGTCACATAAAATAGTTTTGCAAGACATCTTCCAAGACATAATGCCTTGTGCATATCTGAATTTCTGTCATCTGCACAGCTATATTTATACAGGGGTATGTACATAAAGAGTGGACAAAAGTGCTGGTTTATATATTTATTCTGCTTCTGTTTCAGTTTTGTCAAGAACAAAATTAAGAAAGTGTCCAACCTCAAAAGGTCTTCTAAAATGTTTCCTGTGGGTGTGGCAGTGAGATACAGTGATATGCTGAACTGTAGCAGATGATCAATGGAAAAATAACTATTTTTATAATATATATGCTTATGCTGCCTGCAGAGTAAGAATTTAACTGCAAAGAAAAGTGGTATGGAGTGCTTTAGTGATGGACTTCTTTAGTGATACATACAATGGAAAAAGTGTCTTGGTACTAAAAAGACAATAATAGTCTTTAAAACCCTCTCTATTTTTACATTCTAATAATAGTCTCATTTCAAAAGAAGAGGGAGAGACAAGGTAAATTTCCTTCACATCAAGGAATAGCTGCTTCAATCTTTTTATTATTTTGGAAAAATGTAGTATTTCTATGAACATTTTAAATATTCATTGATGTATGCTAAGATCTTTTCCTTTTTAATTTGGGCTTTACATCTTCAGAGTGAGCAATAGCATTTTAAATTTAAATTTTCAGTGAAGCTTTGGAAGAAGAAATATGATGTCTCAACATACTGTTTTCTTTAAAAAAAAAGACAACAAACATAACCCCCAAACACAATGTACACACCCCCCTCCTCCCCCACAGTTCTAGTCATTAAATACTCCATGAAGTGATCTCCATTTTTTTCTAAAAGAAGTCAGCATGTTGCTATTGCTTCTTGTCTTAAAGTTCGTGTCTGATTTATGATTCAGTTTTGTAACACCATCACAGCAGACAGTTTACCACTTAAATGATAAAAGTTTCAATAGGCACTTTAGTGGAATTACGAAAAAGCTACCACTCTTCCACCGTGATGCCAGAAAGTTACCTTCTTTCTAAGTCAGGTCAGTAAACTGCACCTTGTAGGCCTGAGCTTGTCTCAGTGTAATTCCAGATGAACAAAATAACAACAACAGAAACCTGTGTATGTTACAGGATTTATCATTCTTTCACAAATCAAACCAAAACTGACGGTATGATAAATGTAGTAACTTGCTGGAAACAATTGCTGTCTTTTATAATCAAAGTAATTGTGTCTTATATAAAGCTTAGGTTTATCTTTTAAATTTGTGGTTGGTTTGCTTTTCTTTTTGTTTCACTGTTGTAGTTGTACTTAAGTGACTTTGTCAGGGTTATAACTTTCTTCTCCAAACATATCTGCCAAGATCTTAAAGCGAGGTCCCCAGTCACTCAGATAGTCATAATCCTGATCTGCCTCTGTAGTGAGAGAGTCTATAGAGCTGAGAGACTCTGCAACAGATCCATTGCCTTCATAAGCATAGGTGGCCAAGGAGTCATAAGGGGGTGCAGATGGATCTACATCATTTTCCTGCAGCCTTTGATTAATGAAATCTCTTATGTCTGTGTTATCTTCTGCTGGTGGTCTGTGGCGCGTAAAACGCAAGGTGTCTGGTTTTATGTCCCTGCGTATTTTGTTATCTTCAATCACTTTGGGATTCCTCAGGGCACCTATGTCAAAAGCCTGGGTGTCCTCTTCTCCACCTCCTTCATCATCATAGTGGATAACATTATCTCTGATGTCTTCTTTAGAGGTCATCAGGGTGTCCTTTTTCTTCTGCCTCCGTAGTGCTACATACAGTACCACAATGACTGTAACGAGAGAAAACTGAAGTTAAGACATGCACAGAAATAATTTAGTACTCTGGTGACACATCATTATATCTTTCTTTTAAAGCCACAAGCAATCAAAGGGACTTTTGTCCTTAGAAAAGAGCAGTGCTTAGCAGTGCTCTAGCCAATGAAAAATTATTTGATCTTTGCCATAAGAGTCTAACTTTCCTAAGTACTTGCTGTACTGCTGGAGAAAGTATCAAATAATTTTCCTGCTGGCCTGCTTTGCAAACAAATAGAATTGAACAGGACTTCAGGTTTTTAGTTCAGAGAGACAGAGTTGTGATTTTTTAAAAAATATTTTCCATAGCAAAATAGAGAAAAGAATCCTAAATTTACACTTTGAAGACAAGAATAAAGAACTAAACCAAAAACCCTACTCACCAAGTATAACAGAAAAAAAAAAAAAAAGAATTTTGAAAAATAAATAATTTGAATAATTTCAAATTTGGAATTTTTGAAATACAGAAAAAATAATCCTACTTTAGCTTTTTATACAGTACACTTTGGCCTCTTCAGGGATCTGCTTCAAAAAATCATGTGTTAAAGGTTCTGGAGAGAAAAGGGGTCCAAGAGAGCTGGTTGATTTTCAAGTATCATGTCCTCCAAGCTCAACAGAGATCCAACCTGAGGAGCTGGAAATCAAGAAGAGGCAGCAGGAGGCCTTCACTGATGAATAAGAAGCCCTTGACTAAACTCAGTGATTAAAAAAAAAGCATCTAAGAGTTGAACACAGCGACAGGTGAGCCAGGAGGAATATACAGTGACAGTCTGAACACACAGGAATGTGCTTAGGAAAGACAAAGCCCACATGGTGCTATCTCAGGAGGGCAGCAAGAGGACTTGTACAAGTAAGACAGAAAAAAAAAAGAGCAGAAAGGTAAAGGTGGGCCCACTACTGAATGGGGCAGGTGAGCTGTTGCCAAATGACACGGAAAAGGCCAACCTAGCCAGCAGCTTCTTTGTTTCTGTCTGTTTTGGTAAAGTTGTCCTTCAGTAATTCTATGTCTCTGAGATCAGAGGGAAAGTCTGGAATAAGAAAGACTTATCCTTGGTGGAAGAGGATCAGGTTAGGGAATACTTGAACAAACTGGGCACACAAGTACATGGAATATAGTGAGATACACACATGAATGATGAGGAAGGTGGCTGCTATCACTGCTATCACTATTTGCAATAATTTTTGAAAGGTCATGGGGACTGGGAGAGGTTTCTGAGGCCTGGAGTGTCACTCCTGTCTTCAAGTAGGGCAAGAAGAACGAGCTAGGGAGCTAGCAGCCAGTCAGTCTCACCTTGACTTTTAGGAAAGTGATGGAGAAAATAATTCTGGGAACGAAGAAGGGGCATAAGAGCAGCAGGGATAGATTTATGAAGGTGAAGCTGTGCTTAACTCAGTTGATAGCTTTCTATGATGAGGTGACTGGTTGATGAAGGGAGAAAAATGCAATACTTTTATCCTATTTAGCAAAGCTTTTGATATTATCTTTCATAGCAATCTTCTCAGAAAACCTGAGAAAGTGTGGACTACACAAGCAGATGGTGAGGTAGATTGCAAGTTTTCAGGCAATAAAAAAGAGTGGTTGTGCCACTGTTCAGAGGAATCTCTTCAAGCTGAGGGAGTGGGATGAAAGGAACTCCATTATGTTCAACAAATAGAAATTCCAAGTCCCACACATGGAGATGCGTAACTGCATATTGGAGATGCTGTTGGCCAGCTGACCAGAAAGTAACTTGATGGATGAGGCCTTGTGATCCTGGTGGACAAGTTCACCATGAGCCGTCAATGTACCCTTGTGTCAAAGAAGATCAACAGCATTTGGGACTGCATTAGGAGAAACATTGCTAGCAGGTCTAGTGAGATGGTCATTGCCCTCTGCTCTGTTTATACACACTTGGAGTTCTGGGCCCAGTTCTGGGTCCTCATTACAAGACGGACATGGACTCTCTGAAGTAAGTCCATGTAGAACCACAAAGATAATTGAGGCATGGGAACATCTACCACACAAGGAGAGGCAGAGGAGAGGCAGAGAGCCAGGTATGTCTTCTGGAGAAGTCACAGGGGGATCTTACCAATGTGAGTAAGTTCCTGATGGATGGAAGCAAAGATAGAGCTAGGCTTTTCTGAGAAGTGTGCTGTCAAAGGATGAGAAGCAATGGGCACGAACTGAAATGCACAAAATTCCAGAAAAATGTAAGAAAAAAAAGGCTTTATCACCAGGATGTCAAGCAGTGGAATATGTTGCCCAGATAAGTTTTGGGGTATCCATCCTGCTCTAACTGCAATTGTGCCAAAGGAGACAGCATTCTTCTTGCTTCAAGAAAATTGAAAAGTTATTTTGTTTAGTTGGTTTTTGGTTTTGTTTTAAGTTCTTCAGAATGAATGTATTCGTGAATTTAACTGCTACTCCGTATGATGTGTGACCATTTGCCATTCTTGTTCTGATTTGAAAAAAATATTTTTCTCACAACATAACTTTTTGACACAGAGCAGAAATCCTGACTTTTACCCACTCTTAATCAGAAGCTATTTATGTAACCCTGAGCCTTCAGTAATTTACTTAAGTGGCACCTGCATCATCCAAATGCAATGAGGTATCCATACGTTATATTCTGTGTCAGGAGCTCTTTTTGGGTGTGCATTAAATTATCATGGGACCTTGGAAGCCACTAGTATCAAAATGAGGCATCGTCCAGCATCTGTAAGACTCAGTCTGATTTCTGCAGCCTACGTTGTGCAAGTAAGATGCACTTTGGATATACTGTAAATAAGGCAGTATTTAAATATAAGGTAGAACAAATAACAATGCCACCTTATGAAATCCATGCCTGCCTGAAATAAAAATAATCTTCCTGTGAATCTTTATATGGATGTGGCCGGTAACAGTCTATGTTACAATTATTTTCTCCTCTTCCATTTCTTCATTCTTTTTTTGCTCTACTGCTGTTACTGTCAGTAGGACTTGTCTACCTTAATAATAATCTAAAAAAATTAATCTTTCAAGAAAGATATTTAAAATAATTTCAGGGAAAAAAATATTATTTGGGTTCTACTGAAAACTGATTATCTTAATGCATTAAGAGATATTGCATGGATAAGAAGATTCATGGTTATGATCAGTGTTTTGGGATATTCTTCTAGAAATAAACTGCTACACATTTTCCATGGCTTTTGTTAAAAGCTTGGTGAAGCTAGTGAAAAATCAGAATAAAGCGCTTAGCAGGGCTTCATGAGAACTAACCTAGAAGTATGACAATACACAACAAGATTGCAATCAAAGCTCCTGTGCTGAGGCCGACTGGTAAGAAGATTGCTTCTACGTTGCAGGACTGGATGGTGCCGTCAGAATCACATCTGCAAACACGGATAGTCAAAGTGTTTGTGCTGCTCTGGACAGGGTAACTGCTGTCTTCTATTACTATTGGAAGAAAGTACAGCTCTTGCTGCCTTCTGCTGTAGCCATTTCTTCTGGTTTCAATCCCAGCTGTGTTGTCTGTAAAACATGACAGTCATTAGCAGATTTTTATTGTGTACTTAATTCCATATTGTAGCTTGTATCACCTTCCGTAATAGCCTTGTATTTCATATTTGAAACTTGTTGAATGGTATGCATTATGTAATTGACTTGCTTTGCCATTACAGAAGGTATTGTATTCTGACTGGTACAGTTATTTTTTGCAGAACCTTAAACAATATTCCTTTTCTTGTAAACATTTTAACAGCTGAAATTTCAAAGAAGATAAAAATAACTAAAAAAAAACCCAAGCAAAACATTACAAGTATGATTCTGAAGACATTTCAGTTTATTTCTCCTGATCTCCTTACATTCCAAGCCTGTGGTCCAAAGGATTTTGATTGCATATGAATTTAGAATCATGTCTCTATCAACTAATTAATTTCCTTAAAAATACAAAGTAATATACCTGGACAACATGCAATCATTTTAGCTTTCCTGCCCCATTAAAAGTAATTAGAGAAATGAACTGAGTACTTGAAAATCAGTACAGCTTCTATCAATTAGATGGACTTCTAGACTTTGTAATTTCTTCCCAGTTAGTTATTGCTGCTTTTCCTGAATGAAACAAAGTAGCAAAGAAATACTGTAAGGATTAAAAGAGTTACGTTAAAAGCAAAACAAAAATTAATTTATCAGGGAATTAACGAGATGACAGAACTAAATGAAAGTAACCTGCTGCAGCTACCATTTGTCCATCTCACCTATATCTTAATTATATTTTTACAAGATGTCACATGATGGTTTTCATGCTTCAGAGGTTTGTTATGATGTACAAGGATTAAAAGCTCTGAATTTCACAATCAAATACTGGTATGGAGTTCTGATTAAGGACAATAAGAAGCAACCCTAAATATACAAATTTGTTATGATTAGACACCATTAAGAAGGTGTATAGCTAAAAAAATGCTTCAGACACCTCCCTTTTATCAAACTCAAGCATGGACAGGTCAAGTTCAGTTACACTTAGTTTTGAAAAGAAAAAATAGAACAGTTGTAATAGCTTCCATCTTCAGTTTTTTCTTTCTATGATTAATCACCTGCACTGTATAAAATCTTTAAGAACTAATTTGAAGATATTCAGTTTAATTTTATTTCTATTTTTTCCATATTTCTATTATTAGAATTATTTATATTCTTCTGTTTTTTCTTCTGATTTAAACAATGGAGATCACTTTAATAGTTTACAGTTCAACTAAATGGCTTGCCATCCTCCTTTGAGAAGACTCAATCAGATCAGCCTTTTAACTCTATGATTTTGAACATTTTTTGTTGCTCTTTTATGACCCCTTTCAATTGTTCAAAGTTGTTTTGAGAATATGGACACAGGCAGGTGTTTGAACTCTACACAGAAGAGCCTAGAGAAACTGAGATATCTTCTGGTTCTTCAGACTGTTTGCAATAGATTAATTTATAACATATGTGTGAGAAGAGGAAATTCTGTCTCTTACGCAAGCAATGGAGTGCACTCCACATGGGAGCTGCCCTCTAGAGAGCAGAATGAGGCCAGCAAAGCAGAAAGAGTGAGCTCTGCAGTCCCTTTGGAAGCACGACATCTCTGACAGGGCATCACTTCTATTAACACGGTGGAGTGCTGCTGAAAGGCAACCTTGAGCTTCTGTCTCACTCCAGTCCTCATTAACGACTCATTAAGTTACATTCTGATGTATGGGACCTGACTTCTCTTGGGTGCAGCACAAGAATGTTACACCTGCTGAAGTATCAGACCACCTGTGATTTTCAGTTGCATAGAATAGCACGGGGATTAGGGCTTCTTGATTTATTTAAAAATTTTAAATGTCACCATTACTTGTAAAAGCATTAGTTGTACCATAGTGAACAACACTGTCCTCAAAAAATAGAAAAAATCGATTTTACAAAGGACCTGCTTGATGCTAACATAATTGCTAACTTAAACGAAAATGGCACTTGTTTTTAGAAGGTTTCCATAGTGACAAAAAGGTTGTTTTATTGTGCCTCTAAACTCTGCACAGAGCAGACTTTCCTCCACCTTTGTGGCAAACAAAAGGCAGAAGATATTGCAAGACAGGGTTTTTGTTTGGACAGGTTTTTTCCTAATATCTCTGCAAATCATTGATAATGAAAAAAGGTTTTTATTGTTTGTTTGTTTTTTTTTCTTTACATTGTATCAAATAGCTTACTTTTTTTTTTATTTTTCATTTTTTCCCCCAGTTGTTAAGAAATACTTTTAAAAGTTCGTCTTGGTAGTTTCCACTTTCTATCGGAATATTGCACTTGTTTTTATACAGTAGTGAAGCTTCATGAACAGATAACCAAGATCCAAGATCATCTCAGTGCCAACATTACTGGTTTAAGCAGAGAAATTTTAATTATCTAATAATATTTGAACAATTTCCTCACCAAACTCATATGCTAAGCACACTTTACAAAAGCTGTAATTACTGTACAGACTTAAAGATTATTTTAATTCATTAAATCTGTTAATATTACCTGAGAAGACTTCTTTAGAGCAGAAGTTTGTCCTTACTTAAAAACAAAACCAAAAAAACAAACCAACACCCAACACCTTAGTGAATTTAAAGGATATTTTAGGAAACAGACAAGAAAAAAATAAGAAATTAAAGCTCTTACTTTAAAGAAATCTTTACCATAAAAAAATTAAAGGTATTTAGAGATATAATATTTATGTTCTAAGACATATCATTGTGATGGTTCTTCCCATATGGGCCTTGAAATATGTTCTGGAGCAGAGCAGTGTCCTAGTCTTCTAAGGCCAGAAGTAAGGGACTTGGATCTGTTGTAAAGTCATCCTTCATATTCATTGAGCTGTGTGTCTCAGGAAAACTGTTTGAATGCCCTTTGATAAAATGCTTTATTTCTCCATAGTTTTGGTTTTATAAGTACTATTATTCATGTCTACAAGAGTATGAGTGGCTTCACTATATCCTCTATTTACGCGTCCTTAAGTGAAGTTCTTTGCTCATCTGTTCAATTCTTTTAAATGTCTATGACACACAAAGATAAAAGTCACTATTAAGTTTGGGAGTAAACCATTTTCATTGTATCAGCTTCACAGGAGAGCTATAAAGAGAAAAGAAGCACAGTTTGTTTTTTCAAATTTATGTCTTCCTAAAGTTTCTTCAGGATCAATAGTTGTTAGCTAATTTGTTGACTCTAGTTTACAATATCCATAGTGCATGTCTTCAAAAATTATGTGGGCCATATATATTATTTAAATACATTCTTTTAAAGCCTGAAAGAAAGATTTTGCAATTTTATTTCATTGGTGCATTATTCATTTCTTGCACTTCAAGGGAATGGGTCACTTAATTCTCAAGAAAGAAACCTTTACCTCAAAATCAATGTAACCTCAAATTTAAATTTAAAACAACAATTAAAAAAATGAAGAATAATATACTGTTTAAGATAGTGATACTTATAACCCGCACAGTCTAATATTTTTTTAACTTTGTTGGATGACTTTAGGTGTTCTTTCTTTGAAATATAATGTAAATCCTTTTATATTAAAAGCTTATCACAGTTATTTAAAGATCATCTAATAGCTCAAATACTCCTTTTTCTCTTATTTGATTAAAGTAGTTAGTGATAAAAATTTACTACAGTTTATTATGTTTTAGCAGTGTCTGCTCACAAGACTACGTCCTTGAAGATGCTTACTGTAGAAAAAAGATGCATTTTTTCATCTTGGTTTGTTTGCCATCTAACAGAAGAGTTCAAGTTAATAAGGAAAAAAAAAGAAAATATATTTAGTTACAACAAAAGTTGGAAGAAAATCAGACATGCCTGTTGTATAAATCTCCAAGTTATTAAGGGTGTTGTACTTCAGCAGCACTGTACGTATTTAGAACTCACTGTTCTGCAGGACTACGTAGCCTCAAGAAAGCGCAATATCTGGGTACTTTGAAAATGGTTAGCATAGTCATAGTATTTAAACACGACAGCAATAGTGCCTTGTTTAAAGGTATACCTGCATTGGCATATGGATTCTTCCTGAGATACTGAATGATAAAAGGAAGAAAATAAAACAGGTAGCAGTGTTTTTGAAGGCCTGTAGGGAAATCTCAGCCTTTGGTGTTCTCACCAAATTCCTGCCCCTAAAAATAAGAAAAGGTGTAAGACCTGAATTTATATTAATATAAGTCCCAGAGAGTTTAGCAATTAGAAATGTCAAAGAAAAACAGGTCTGTCAAAGAAATGTCAAAGAAAAACAGACACAACTGTAATTGAAAGTAACCACATTTGTCATTGTAACTACAGTCTGCTGCTCTGAAAGAGAGATATGGGTAACCAACTTACTTCTGTAGTCATGGACTGTGAAGTTTGGTTTGTTGGAAGCCTCAGATGACAGTTTGAAGGAAAACCTTTGCCCAGCTGGTGACAAATCTTTATCTACTGCTGTGATGGTCTGTATCACCTGAAACCAGATTAATTCTGAAGTCAGTTCACTCTTCTAAGAGAAACAGTTTTTGTAAAAGTGCAAAGTGAACATCAAATGAAACTGTTGAAAGTGAAGTTTTGCTGGATTACTGTCATTCCCTTAATATACTGGGCTGTGGAGGCAAGAAGTCTAAATTCTTCAACCACCAGAGAACTCAGAAAGTCTTGTTTTGACATATATAATGAAAACCAGAGAGATTTACCATATATTCAAGTTATTTAATATTTACTGTCTATGTTAAAATGTTAGTGATGGCTTTTGGTTGTGCTTCGCTTTATCTGCTACTACTTTTGTCACAGTTACAACCCTTTAAGAAAGAGATTCTTTCTCCTCTCATAGCTATTAAATGCAGAGTCAAGGGTGGCTCAGGCCCATGTAATTGGAGAAAATAAATAAAATAAAAAAATAGACTGCAAATAGACCATAAAAGTCAACAAACACAATTCCAATATGTATTTCCAAAACTGACATTTTTTTTGTAGAAGAATTCTGACCATGATGTAATTTTTGAACCCAGAAATTTCTACAGCTATAAATAATAATGACAGAGAAAGCATAAGAGCAAGCATTACAAATTTGAAATACCTGTCCTGACTTGGCATTTTCACATACAGATGTCTCATATGGAACTGAAATTTCAGGAGGAAACTCGTTGACATCCAAAACATTTATTATAACATTGACTTTGCTGGTTAATAGTGGGTTACCTATAAATAATTTTAGAAGAAAAGTGTTATGTTTGTTGTCATCACCAGTTTCATAAGCTGTCATAAGCTTGTGATCTCAGTACTGTGACTCCCAAAAGCCCTGGAATTCCATTTATTTCTGATTAACTAAGAAGAAAACAGAAGCAAACTTATTATCAATTTGTAACAGACTCTGACCCATTACTCGCCATGGGTTAAGGAATCAATCAGCATGATTATGTTTATTGAAGCATAAATGGAAAATAGTGAAAAAAAGTGAAAAACCTGTTACTAAGGACACAAACTTTTCTCCAATCACTTTTTACTAAGCCTGTGGAAAACACTTCCAATGATTCAAACTGAATTCTGTTTTCCACAACTAAGTGCAGAAAATCAATATTTACTGCCTAGCCATTGTTTACATCTTCAAGATATTAAGGAGGCAAGCAGAGCATACCAGTTTAGAAGACAGAGAAAGAGAAAAAGATATGAAAAAAACAAAATCTTGCTGAAATCCAGAGTCAGTGTTAAATTTATCAGTGAAACATGCATGCACAGCTAGCATACAACTATTTGGCCATACGGTGGAAGTTATTTATTTAACTGCAAAGGTGTTTTCAGGCAGCAAATACTTTTGTGCAAAACAAATGTTAAACAACAGTATACACCATATTTCTTTCCACTGTCCTTCCTCTACAGATAGTCTTCATCAGTCACTGGATGCATTTTATAAACATGTTTACTCATAAATGCAATGTCTGACAAAACAGAGACACTAGTTCGATACAAAGTAGATAATGTTCTCTTTTACTTTATGCTGAGACCTCCTGCAAAATAGCAAATAGATGAAAAATAGGATATCTGGTGAGTCAAAAATATAATTATTTTATCCTTTTTGACTTAAGATGAGTGGTAGAAACAGTTAACTACCAAAAAAAATCTATGCTATAAATCAGGGTGATTTAGGAATGACAACATGGGACCGACCATGTTTAAGTACAAGGGGAGTTGTCTTGAATCCTCAGGAATAAATCATAGAATCATAGAATAACAGAATGGCTTGGGTGGGAACAAGATTTAAAGATCATCTAGTTTCAAGGCCCCTGCCACTTGCAGAGACACCTTCCATTAAACCAGATTGCTCAAAGTCCCTTCCAGCTTGGTCGTGAATGCTTCCAGGGATGGGGAACCCACAACTTCTCTGGGCAACCTGTTCCAGGGCCGCAGCACCCTCACTGTAAAGAATTTCTACCTCATATCCAATCCAAATCTATTCTCTTTCAGTTTGAAACCATTTCCCCTTGTCCTCTCACTACATGCTGCTGTCTTGTTGGCTCCCCTCAGGTGCTGAAAGGCCACAATTAGGTCATCCCACACTGTTCTCTTCTCCAGGCTGTTAAAGCTCAATTGTCTCAGCCTGTCTTCATAGGAGACATGCTCCAACCCTCTGATCATCTTCATGGCCCTCAATGGACCCTTCAAATTATTTGCATTGGTCACTTGCTTTGCAGTTTGTATAATCCTTGGCATTTCTTTTGTTTATAACTAACGCAGCAAGGGGCAAAGTCTCTTCAAGTTGTCACTGTAAAGAATGTGCATGATTTCTTCCTTATTCTTAGGAATTACTAAATGCAATAGTAGTTTCAGGAGACCTTTGTCAAAACCAAAGGTATTCCCCAATGATTTCCTCATTACATAGGACTAGCTGCAAGATGAACTTTGTTTCACCTGTTTACAAGTAATAGATAAACTGACCATGCAATAAACACAGCTTGAAATCTAGAAGACAACAATAATGCACTACCCAGATCACACATTTTTAATCCATACCTATGAATTTAATAGAGAAATATTTAATATTTAATAGAAAATCATGACATCTCTTTAAATTCTTGTTCATTTCCAGTTCAACATCATCCCTTCTTGCAGAATGTCTCTGTGGAGCAAGGCATTGTGCAGTACAATTGAAGACACAGTTTGGTCTAGCAACTAGGGTTTAGGCACTCATTCTTTAGGTGACTGAAGAGCTGGAAGAAATCTAGATAGATCACTTGTTCACAATTGGTTCCTTTGTATAATAGGAAATAAAAAAAATACTAAGAAGTTACTTTATTCAGTAGAGGGCAAGACCTCCATAGAGAGATCAGAAAATCCCTGAACAGGTCAAATTCACACAGCTACTGGGAGAAACAACTTGGCCTAAAACTTCCCTCCTAGAAGCACTCACTGAAAAGGACACATCAACTCACATGGAGTAACTCAGGTTTTGCTTTAGATGTTTTTTATGTGTGTGTTCATTTTAAGGTACAACAATGAGGACAGGAGTTCAGGAGACATTCTTCAAATAAATCAGAGATTAATGCATCACCTTAAAAATATAGGCATAGATCTTAATTTCCTTTTAAGAATATGTTCACAATGCCTTTCCAATAAAAAAGTGAATGTGTTCTAAATTCATGCACCACGTACATGGAAATATCAGATGATTTTGATAACTTCTGCTAGACATTTCAGTTTCTTTAAGAAATCTTTTAGGTTGCATTTTTGTAAAGTAGCTTGTCGAAATGATTTTTTTCTGCTTTTTGCAACAGTTTGCGTAGTATGTGACCTATATTTTTAAAACCAGCAAAAGGATTTGACTTTTTTTTCCTTCAAAATCACAACAGGATAGCATGCTCTGGAAATATACATGAGTCTATGGGTATAGTTTTTACATTTATTTCTCACTGATGGTATCTGATTTATTCTCTGTGGTTCTTTGAAAGATATATTAGAGGCCAAAATCTCTTCCAAAGTATTTCAGCAAACTACAATTTTACATTGAATAAATGGTCTGGAAAAGTCAGATATGAAAGTAAACAGAATTACCAGAATCTATGATCAACTTATTTCAGGTTTTCATATTGTTTATATGATTTTCTTTCTGGTTTGCACTGACATCACTTTAACTACTTATGTATATAAATGAAGACTGCAAGAAGAATGTTTATAGCTTTGAATTCATACAAAATACCAAAGATGTGAAATACTTGATGTGAACAAGCATGAAGAATTGCATTTAAAATACTACTTTGTAGGCTTGACCTCCATTTTCTCTGGAGTTTGGTTGTCGTTTCTCTCAAAATCAAGTCTTTATGAACCCTATGAACACAATCGTGATGTGCATGCTGGTATCAGTGAGTGGGTCACTAAAAACATCTGCTTATGCCTTTTAAACCCAGATTACAAAAATTAAAAGACAAACTGGTTAAATCACATGCCTAGAAATTAAGAAACTGATTTCATGTTTCAAATCTGCCTGTAAGATAAAGGAAAATTAATTAGCTTCATTAATTTATTTTATCAACTTAATTAATTAGTTGACTTCATCTTCCCTTGTTTTTCCTGTCTGTAAGACAGTGACCAACTTGCTTCCTTTTTTTTACTTGATTAACATCATTTTTCAACACCTTAATGGTTCAAAGCTATTACAGCAGTAGAAAGCCTGTAACATTCTTTGAATAATGAGCTTGTGAAAATCCAAGGTATCTGAGAAAATAGATACTGACTATTGAGGAGAACTGCTGATTCCTTAATCCCAGTTAAGGTATGCAGGAGAAGATCAGCTCCATCTTGAGGTTTAAGGTGACTTTTTTAACATTCTCAAAAATTTGGCGTAGACAGGTAAGCTGGGAAGATGGTTTGGAAAGGGAGGATTATTACTTTATTTTTATCCTAAAATTATGCCTTGAGGACAGGAAAGCAGAAGTAAACTCTTCTGCATTTTTATCTATATCCTCTTTTGTAAATTGGAAACTTCCATGCTATGTAATTAGGCAGCATATGGAGGAATTTTGAACACTGGACTATGATATTTATATGCCATTATGCTCTTATAGCAGATCTTGGTACAGTTTTGGCCTGGGGCAACTAGTGGTCTTGTGGACAATTCACATGCATGTGCTGGGAATTAGTAAGGGCAGGGACTACCCTAAAGGATTGATTTACATATGGGGACTCTGGAAGGTAAGAAGGCATATAAATAAGCTACTTCATGCCAGCTGGCCTTTGTGCTTGAAATGAATGAGAGCCATGCTTAATTTATTAGTTTGGATAGTTTCTGTGGCATCAAAAATGTTCAGAAACAACAACCATGCAGGCTACTAGGGTGTTGATTTATTCTAAGAATTTAGAAACCAAACAACAAACTACAATGAAATACAGTCATGTAATGAGAAGAAGTACAGAGAAATTGGGAAGTGAAATGGGGGAAAACAATGTGAGTCTGAAACATCCTCCACCTGCTCAAGGACTTTGTTCTATATAGAATTTGTTCTATATAGATTATATAAATATATATATATATATAGAATATATATAACATATAGCATGTAATATGTAATACATAATATATAGTATATAGTATATATAATATATAATATATAATATATATGATATATAATATATAATGTATAATATATATAATACATAATATATTAGATGTATTATATATACTATAATACATAATATATAATATATAATATATGTATTATATATATACTATAATATACATTACAATATAATATATAATATATAATATATATAATACATAATATATTATATGTATTATATATACTATAATACATAATATATAATATATAATATATGTATTATATATATACTATAATATACATTACATATATATATTTTATTATCTATGAAGGGGTTTGGGATGTTCTGTATTCAGCTCTCTTTGTGTATGTCTCATCATCAGCATGTCTGCAGAACAATCATCCATCTCCTGCTTAAAAACATCTCCATTCAGGGACAATTCAAGAAAATTTAGTTTACAGAATGACCATTAGGATGTGACTAAAATATGTGGGCGGTTTTGTTGTTGTTATTCTCTCACAATGAGAAAACAAAATTTTAGCAATGCAGTTTTTAAATAACGAGTCTACTTATTTATTTTTATTTTATAAATTTTATATATATATACATATATGTCCTTACAGGGAGATAAGATCACCAGGAAGTGAAAATACTTCAATAACAATACTATCTGTTCTTTTCTGAACAAAGTTTTTGCAGCTAATTTCAATACTGGACCTCCTTTTTACATAGTCATGTATATGTCAAGGCACTTCTCAGTGTGTTTTTTCTGTGATAAGGAATGAGAGTTTCAGTTTCTATGTCAACACTGGACAGCAATTTTTTGTATCAGTAATTCTTCAAATATAGCAATTTCTCCTCAATCTTTTTCAATTTTATTTTCTCTCTATCTGTTATATTTTGCTTTTGTGCGGTGTGTCATCCCTCGATCCTCCACCTTTATTTCTATGCTCTTAGTCAGACAATTGCACATAACGTTTTGAGTTACTACACCTCGAATCCTCCTCACTATTGTAGTAGAGATAAGGAAATTTTTGTTGCCATTATAGATAACGGTCAATGTATAAATATTTTGGGATATACTGCAATGAAGCACAGCTATGTTTTAGGTGCAGATTCTTAACATAGCAATTGATAAAACTGGGGATTTCAAAATATATCCTGTTTGCTACAGCTCTGCTTAAATGTCATACTGTTATATATATGTCCATGGACAAATAAATTTCAGGTTTTTAGATCAGGTTTTAAATCTTTAGTTACTCTTGGGAATAATAAACAGATTTAAATCAAGTTTGTTAAAACTTTTTCCTTACTGCAGGAAAAAAAAATTTACAAATCTCAAATATCCTTTGCCCACTATTAAGTCTAAATAGTTAAGCTTTACTGAAACATATACCATGATGAGAGCTTCCTTCTGTGTCTGCCTGCCTTTCAGTTTCTCTGGAAACAAATTGCAGTTCTGCTGGGTTTTCTGTGAATATACACTTGCACATGTATTTCCATGAACTCAACCACTTCTGACAGCTTAGGCTTCTCTGTTAGTCTATGTCTTTTCCAGTCTATGGATGAAATTCAAGTGTTCATTTGACTGGTGTTCTCCACATTTTCAGGTTATAAGGAGTGAGCCCATGGTTCTTTTTGAGATAACTCCAACTAAGAATCTGGGTTTTTATCTGAAATAATACTTACCATCTCTGCTTCCCAAATCTCCCTCTTCCTGTTAGTAACATGTATTAACTTTTGAAGACTCAGCCAAGCAATACATTAAAGAAAACATGTTTTTTGCTACTGAAACTAGCATTTTCTGACATATAAACATAGAATGAATAAGAAATACAGCAGGACCCTCTTCTACAGCCTGTTGATGTCAACAGAAAGAATTCTGTGGCCTTTGCACAACTGCTGGGTGACCAAAAGGCTTGTACTCAAAGCGTGAGATACACTTATGAGAGCTACAGTTCGACAATGAGACATGAATGCGAAATGCCACAGATGTGGATGGCAATGAAGAAAGTTGCAGCTACATGATATAGTGGAAGAAGGGACTTCTTATAAAAAAAAAAGGCTATGCAGAAGACACAAAGACAAGAATTTAAATTATCCCACCACAAATCATGTAGGACAAGAAAAGAAGGGGTTAGGCATAAAATTTTGGGCAGAGATAAAAGAGCAGTGATACAGCACACAGATTAGTTCATTTAGAACATTAAATCTTGACAATTTTAGTTTACTTTTTATCAGAGTATCAAATGACTCTTTACATTTTTCTTAATTTAAATTTCTAAATTTTTCTTCAAAAAGCACATTGACAGACCCGTTATTTGATTAACCTAATTTCATATGAAGTGACTTACAAATTCAGAAATCAGAACTGTAAGTCACGCATACAGCTCCTCATGCTCTCCATGCTGACAAAATGTATTTCAGCTTCTAAGGGAGCTGTGGTTACATGAGGTCTGCTAGCAAAACCTTAGTAAACAGGGCTGATTGAACATCACAATTATCCTCACAAGTCTGGGAAAATGATATTCATTGAACCTTCTTAAATAAACTCTTGGCAATTCAAGCACTCTTCACATTATATTTATACCTGAGCATTACATTCTGAGAAAAATACCATATTAGCATATTAATTCAGTTTGTGTCATACTTACTAACTTTACTTGCAATTATAGAGAAATTGTATTGTGCTGTGCTTTCTCTGTCCAGTAATTCATTAGTAGCAATGGTTCCTTCAGTAGCGTCTATTGTAAAGTAGCTGTCCACATCGTTCTTCCAATCCATGAAGTATCTGTATGTGAAAAATATTAAAGAAAGCAGATGCAAATGTGCAAAGATTACTCATTTATCATAGCAGCAGTGTAGCCACCTCTAGTTTTGTTATTTTTCTCTTCCCAGCTATTACCATCCTTTCAGGAGGAAGACAATAAAGAATGATTTGTTTATTTCTGTTTTTGCAGAGTTGGAATGCTCAAGGGGAAATAATAAGATATAATAAAAGACTTAATACTCCTGGTGTTTAGATTATTGAAAACCTTGAAGTCCCAAGAAGCTGATGCAATCTTCTGTGACCCTGATTACTTATATCAGCCAGTTTGGGACTGTACTATATAGGCTTAGAGGGAAAAAGAGAAAAGGTATGTGAAATAGGGCTTGAGGTATGGATGGTGACAAAGAGTGTGCCAGATCCAGTCCCTTTACATACATTTGTAGCTGCAGTGGGCTGGACATATCCTCACAAAGAGGTGTCCTAAAGGATTTTGGCAGGGTTAGAGCAAGGGAGATGGAGAAGAGTATGCTTATTCCCACACATATATAGGATCAATAAACAACACTTTGCCTTTGTGAAGAATAGGTACCTTTCACTGGACTTGTGAGGAACAGGTAAATACCATTGTTTTGTGCTGTTTTATTTTGTTTTGTTCTCCCGATCCTTTATTTTCAAGAAGCATGAACAAAGAACAAATTTAAAACTAGAAATGTCTACTTATTTCTTATTTTTCTCTAGTGAGGAATAGAAAGCAGAGATGCACCTGTAAACACAGCTGCTTAAAAGCAATGTGATAGCTATCCCAAACCCATTTCCCTTAAATGCTAATTAATTTGAAAGTCTATTTTCACATTTGATACTACTGTTTGCAGTCATAACAGAATAATATTTTTTCTGATGCAATTGCCGCCAGCTACTAATTTCCTTTTCATTGTTAGTCTCTTCATACCTTGATAGTGTTTCTCAAAAACTAGGCAGGATGAAATTGAGAAAGCCATTTGTGAGCAGTAGGCAATAAGAACAAAATGGCGTTCAACAACAAGTACATTCAGAATATTATAAAGCCTAGAGAACCACTCCTATCACACCTCAATTCACGTAAACCAGTGAGAATAAGAATAAAAGCGGGGTTTTTTTCAACTCTAATTAGAGTTATTTATGTGTTTAATATAGAGGGAATAGAATGATAAACACTGTGTTTGTTTACTTCTGTAGGAGGAAGCAATGGTAGGAAGGAGAATATGTCATATTCACAAGGAAAATATTTCTACTTGATACTAAGAATGCTAAAAGCTCTGGAAGACTCGAAGAGCAAAAAAGCCACAAATAAGGTGATGTGTTTGTTTGGAGACATTTTGTTCAACCAAAATCACCAAAAAAAATCCTATCTGTAGATGGAATAGGTTAGTTTGTCTTTTGACAAGTCATTATTACCAGCTTACAGCTTTAATTGAAAAGCTTCAGAAGTGGTTTGCTAAAGGCAGCATGTATCCTTTTGCATAGTTGAGCAGGCACATTTTCTTGAATATGATATTATTATCTACCCATATTTGTAATTTCAATCTCTTTGTTCAAATTTGCTTGACATTAAAATTATGAAAAATATATAAACCATTTATTAGAAATATCATTACCCTAAGACACTCTCTCAGGAGCAGCAAAATTATTCTGTCAGGCTTTTCATGTTTAATAAATTATAATTTCTTCCAAAATTAAATATGCAGCAACACACAAATAAATGAGTTCAAAGCATGAGAAAGCAACTTGGCTTTTATTTCTCCTTAGGAAGATTAACTTTGCCTGAGTACCCTGCACATCACAGTATGAGCCAGGGAAAAAAGCACCGTGTAGGGGATGGCTTCCTTCACCAGGAGGCTTTGAAAGTACAGGAAAGATATTAAGCATGAACACTGTGGTGTTTGAAGTGAAGTTCAAGCACGAATATTTGTAGGATCAGAATCTGATTGTCTGTCTGGAATCATTCACACAGGTGATTAACTTCATGCACAGGCCCAGTGTGCCTAACCATAAGCATCAACAGGATCAAAGACTAGCACTACTCCTGCTGGTATGTATGGCAGAATTCCTCTTGGGTTCCATGGAAATGGGAATTAAACACATTGATAAAAGCAGAACCGTAGCTCTTCTTCCAAATTCATTGCCTTCACCTTCACTGTGTTAATAGTGTGAAAACTATTGTCATCACCATTAACACTGTTAGTATTTTTATTTACTTATTTTAATTTTGACATTATCTTTAGAGATATCCCTTCCTTCTCTCTCCATGTGCTGCACATAAGCTTAAACTAGGCATGTTGTTTCAGCTTCTCTCATTTTAAGAATCTACATATTCAATTAGACTACAGAATGGAGAGGTATAGGCATTGTTATTGGAGATGTATTGTCTAAACCAGATAAATTGACAGGAAAAGCTGAAAACAAGCATCCATTCTTCCTCCTTTCATTGGTTCTCCATGTATAGTACCCAAGAAAACATACCTAGCAGAAAATCCCTTTACAGGCAGATCTTCTGGACACAGAATTAGTCCCAATACATCAGTAAGTCTATAAAGCTTAAGAAAATAGTGAATGGGAGACCATCTATCTGGTCTTGAAACAGAAGTTTTTTGAGACACCCCAAGGGGAGGTCACTTTTGACAAAGGCCCTAAGAAAATGTAGTTTCCTTTTATAGGCAGAAATCACTTTCACACGCTGATGCTTATTGTGCGATTTTTTGTAAATAGGACAGCAACAGCTAATCTCTTTCTAAGGCAGACTGCATAGACTGAGCTCTGCCCTTAACATGGAGGAAATACTTGGAAGAAAAGGAGAAATGGAGAAAATGTCTCCAACCAGAAAAGTCTGTAACGAGTCAGAAAAGTCAGTTTATCTCTTTCCAGAGATAAACCCAGATATCTGGGACATAAAGCCTGACATTTCTTGTGAGGTTGGGATACACAGAGGAACACTGTTGAAATACTGGTATTAGGACAGCTGTCTAGATCTTCCAGTCATGCTCTAGCAGTTTGAAGCAACTGAGATTGGTTTATTTGACTGCTTAGAGTGCCTGCAAGACAGACCATGGATAAGAGCACTAATCCTAAGAGGCATTTCTTTCCTTGAAAAGTTAGGGAGGACTTACTTGTTGCTACAGGACAAAGCAGAATTATTTTTCAGAGGCCCCTGAACAGGCCTGCCTGGCAGCTTTCAGTACCAGACAGTGATATCCTTCATATTCACTGACAGGGAAGAAATTTTGACTTATATGTCTCCCTGAATATTCTTTCCAGCAGAGAAGTGTATTCCAGGTTATATTGTTGATGGCAGGGAGTGTGTGGAAGGGTATATCTTTGCTAACACTCTCTGAGTTGTCTCAAGAATAGCTGCATTTGGACATCATGCAGGATAGAAGAGACAGAATGGAGCTATTCAGTTTATAAAATTACAAGATTCAAGCCTGTAAGGCTCACCCAGAGTCCACACTGACTTCTTAATAGCTCCAAGAAGTATGGACACTCACCCTGGCTAGACAGTGAGGCTGCATGTCCCTCACAAGCTCTCACAGAACACTCCCACTGAAGAGGGTTCACCTCCTTGCAAAGGGAAGAGGACAACAAGGAAGGCAGAGTTAACTCTTTCTTGCTGCAGCACTGGAGATGCAGATGGAGTGCTATTGAATACATGGGTGACAGCAGGTCACCCTTGTGAGGATAACAGGAACTCTGAGCCATCCAGCAGACAACTGTAGTTGCTTCAGGCTGTTATGCCATGAATAAAAGAACTGGACAGCTGTCCTGTGCTGCTGGAGAAACCCGTGTGACAACATGCTCTGAAGGGATGGGAGGGGGCAGGATGCTAAGGAGGCTGTGAAGCTTAGGACTCAGGATGTATTTTTTGATCTTAAAAATGTGGAGGGGAAGATTTCTTATGTCTATCATGGGAAATGCTTGTTCTTGATGTTATGATCATGTTATTTAAGCCAGGAAACGAGCAAGATAAGATATTTAAAAGTGTATGTGTTTTAGAGGAAGAAAAGTGCTTTAAAGCTACGCTGGGAACGTTAGGGCCAAGTGCCAAAGAGGTGAAACTCAAGGATTGACTTTAAAGACTGCTAAAGCACAGATAATAGATAAGGTGTAGGATAAAAAAGGAAGTGGCAATACAAGATCAGCACAACCAAAATTAGATATTTGAAGGTTAATGGCTTCTGATCATTGTGCTTTTGTGTTCAATAAACATTTCTTCAGAAATTCCTATTGATTCTTTTTAGTTTGAGAGGGAGAAGTAACCAGGTGACAGAGGAGCTCTAGAAAAATATTTTGTCTCAACTCACACTTTGCTGATGTAAAGCACATTGCTTACTCTACTACCTAGTGACAGAGCACTGACTTTTTTGAAGAAAAATATTGCGAAAAAAGATAAGGGATATAATAAAAAATTCTGATATGTGATATATCACTACTTGTGTATATGACCATAAATTGTTCCAACTGCATTCACTTTAAGTTTCATTTAAAAATTAAACTGCAACTGAATTAAATTCAGGGTCCTTGACAACTTGGGTTATATAAATACCACCCATCATATCAGCAATAATAAATAGTAGCCTAAAAACATTGGGAACATAAATAAAAGCTAATAGAATTCAGTTTGGTATTGTGATAATTTAAGATTTTTTTGTAATTCCAATACATGTATAATTGAATAGATGAAAGGAGCATTAAAGCAGGAATGGCAAAAGGGGTGAGGGATTGGAAGAATACAAATGAGATTCTAGGTGTGATGAGACTACCTGAAGGCCCAAATAAATTTTCATTAGTAGAATAATCATGTGCTGTGGCTTGAAATTTTTAGATCTCCGCATATAACTGGATGTTGAGAACATGACACCTCTACAATACAATTTTGTCCTGGGCATTATGTCAGTAGATAAATATAAAAAAATTAGAGCTTACAGAAAAACAAGAAAAACTGTCTTGGGTCTAGGAATTTCCAAGTCATAAGGAAAGACTAAAAGAAC